TATATATGTATGCATATATATATGTATGTATATATATATATATAAAGTATATATATACACTTTATTGTGTTTTAGGTTTTGGGGTGTATGTGAAGAACATGCAGGATTGTTGCATAGGTACATACATGGCAATGTGGTTTGCTGCCTTCCTCCCCATCACCTATGTCTGGCATTTCTCCCTATGTTATCCCTCCCCAACTCCCCACCCCTCACTGTCCCTCCTGTAATTCCCCCTCACAGACCTCAGTATGTGATGTTCCCCTCCCTGTGTCCATGTGTTCTCACTGTTCAACACCCACCTGTGAGTGAGAACATGTGGTGTTTGATTTTGTTCTTGTGTAAGTTTGCTGAGAATGATAAACTGGACAGGGAAAATGTGGCATATATACCATGGAATACTATGCAGCCATAAAAACGATGAGTTTATGTCCTTTGTAGGGACATGGATGAATCTAGAAACCATCATTCTCTACAGATATTAAAACAGTATTCTATTGTGCAGGGCACCAATCTCCCAATTTTCTGGTTTTAGAATTAGTTACCAAAAAATTGCTTAATGAACACAGAATCAGAGAATAATGATGTCTTAAGGGTTGCTTGTTTATGGTTATAGTAGAACTTCTCAACCCCCCACCGCCTTTTTTGCAGAGTCCTTATAACCGGAGATACTATTTACTTCAGCTAGATTCTGTCTTCATTCCTGGAGTATGTTGAACTGACATCTCTTCTCATTCCAGCAATCTTTTATGCTTCCACTCTGATGCTCAGTCTTAGGTTTAATTTTTCTTTTGATATGTTGCTGTGCACAGATTTTGCTCTGGGCCCCTTACCAGTGTGCATTAATGTTATAATTCAGACTTGTGGCATTCTGGGAGCCGCTTATGAATTTAAAGCTTCTATTCCAGTTCAGATTATAAATGATTTAAGAAACAAGTTTTATCTTTGTGTCCCTGTGTGCTCCCACACAGTCTTAGCTATACTAGGTGCTTAATTAGTATTTGTTGAATGAAATAATAAGTTGTAAAAAATTATATGGTTATTTTTTAAAGTTAATATTTGCTATATGGTCATTTCTTAAAAGCACATCCATTTCTGGAAGAATTGTCAGTATTTAAGGGGATCTTTACTAAGTCTCAGTAATTGCATTAGTTTTTATTGATCCAGAATATATACTTCAAGTAGTTAATTTATATTAGAGAAAAACAGCAAAAATGGCTCCTAAAAAACAAATAGAAGAAAGATACATTTGAGTTTGCAAAATTTACCTTTTAAATTGTACCTAAGACATTAAATCTGTATGCATAGAAAATACTAAGTACACTTTTCCCTTCTTCTAAACTCAAGTTGAATCTCGTTAACGTTGATAGACTATTTGTATTCATAAGAATTCCAAGCATCCTTGATCAATGATTTCTCCTGATTTAATCTCTCCCTCTATCTTCCATCAACTTACTCTTCTTGAAAAAAAATTTGACTTTTAAATTCAAGAAAGAACTTCAAAGAAAGAAAAAAAGAAGGCGCTGAACATAATTTAGATTAAATGTCGAAAGTGATAATTGAGTGACAACTGACATGATAATTCATTAGCAGAAACTTTGGGACTATAATGCCAGATT